TTCTCTTTCTGGATTTTCTAATTTATTATTTGTTTGTATTGGATCCATTATCGAGTTTATGTTTGTGAAAAAGTTATGATTATGATCTAATTTAAACACTTGTAAAAGTGTCATCTACACATCTGTTTAATTGTATTGGATAGTTACAAGAATTATTTTCTTAAACCTAGTTACAAAGATCAAACTGAATGAAGGTTATAAGATGAAAACTAATCATAGAAGACAGTATAAGCCAGCATAATTAACCTGATAGAATGTAAATTTGCACAATTTGTAAAAATAATTTTCAAGATGAAGCGTGATCAAGGGTAGCATAGAAACAAGATATATAAATTGCTAGTGTACAGCTATTCAGAATGAAATCCTCAAAAAAGATATCTTTGCTGAACTGCTCGTTTTCTCTAATATTTGAATGAATCTTTTCAGTAATCTGCATATCTCCTCCATACTTCTGTGTTTAGTTGAATTGTTAGTAATGCTATTCGTTCCAAACTTTTCACCAATAAGTCAGCAATCATTGGAAATGTTGCTGATCCCAGACATACTCCTGTTTTTTTGATGTATTTTTCCTTGCTACCTGAAGATTGTGGCATTTAGGCTTAGCTGCACCCTTAACTTGATTGTTTAGATCGAAACTCTGGTCCTGTCAGTGATTTCTTAGCACTTAGTTAGCTATGCTTCAATACATTTTTTAAATAATTAACCGACCCCAAAAGTTATGGTCCTAATCAAATGTGGACAGCTTGTTCACTTATGAATGTTGAGATGAGACTCCAGATTGTTAGGTTGATGATTATTGGTCATTTAACTATGGTGTATTTGTTTCTACAGTAATCGAATTCACTACAATTTTATTCATCAAGACTTCTAAAATGAAATTGTTTCTAGTTGTTATTCATCGAAGACTGACATCAGTTGGAGGAACAAAGGAAACCTGGGAGCACTGGACAGCCGTTTCGTCCTAGTATGGGACTCCTCAGCAGTGCGCACCCACGACCCCACCAGCAGGGATCGAACCCGCGACCTTCAGGTTCCGCGACCAGCGCGTTACCATTGAGCCACTGGGTCAGAATCCAGTGCTCCATATTTCCAACTTCTGTTAGCTCACGACAAGTCGTGACCGGTGGAGTCAAGCCTGATGGCCGTGAGGACAAATACTCAGCGATGACATTGGGTGGCGGTTTGCGCTATATCGTGAGCTAACAGAAGTTGGAAATATGGAGCGTTGGATTCTGACCCAGTGGCTCAATGGTAACGCGCTGGTCGCGGAACCTGAAGGTCGCGGGTTCGATCCCTGCTGGTGGGGTCGTGGGTGCGCACTGCTGAGGAGTCCCATACTAGGACGAAACAGCTGTCCAGTGCTCCCAGGTTTCCTTTGTTCCTCCAACTGATGTCAGTCTTCGATGAATAACAACTTGAAATATTTCCAAATCTCCACAACCCCCTCAAAATGAAATTGTTTCTGTTATCTAGCTTACTGTTCCCAACTTTTTTCACCTTAACTTCAAAAATAATGCCGTAATATTACAATGATAAATTGAAGTATAATTTATATATATATATATATATATATATATATATATATATATATATATATATATATATATATATAAAGTGTGTGAAGAGAGAATAAAAGTCTTCCCGATCCTTCTGTTTTCGCTGTTCATAATAGGAACATACCTTCTATAAAACTCACTCAGTTAATGTTTTAAATAACCAACAGAATGAATGCACCAAGACAACTGCAATGAGATGTTATAAAAATAGCTGTTGGGTTGGTATGTTATGCAGCAGGCTTGTTATCTAGCTTTATTGAAGTGATACTAAGTAATCTAGATATCAGGATGACCATTCATCAAGTAAATATAAATTGGTCGATACTTGCCAAGTTGCTTCACTTGTAGTGTTAAATTACAAACTACAATGTATTACTCCAATGGGTCGAGTGGAATAAGTTTTTGAACTTAAATCTTGACAGTAGTCAGTTCAGTGTAAAAAAGTTAACATAATCTCAAGATGAAATGTAATTTACTCCAAAGATGGTCATTTTTGTCTTTTAATTTGGAGGCTAGTACAGATTTATTCATCAGTTTCAAGTTGGAACTTATCGCTGAATGATAACAGTTGGAAGACCATTGGAAAACTGGGTACAGTGAATAGCTATTTCATCCTAGCATGCGACTCATCAGTGCACACCCACGACCCCGCTAGGGGTCGGACCCAGTGCCTCCAGGTTTCGCGGTCAGGATGTTGCCACAGAGCCACTAGGTTGGATTCCAATACACTACGTTCCCGTACTTGTGTCAGTTCGCTGTATAATGCGACCGTCATCTGATGCCGTCATTGAGTAACTGTCTTCAATTCCGATTTCCTTATTATCTTTTTTTGTCGCAAAGTTATTCTCATTTTATATTTATGCTAATAAGGTTTAATAATACCGCGTATTAAGCTTGGTTCTTTAATATATACCACACACAGTTATATAGCAATATATACTGGATGATATTTCCAGCATAAATCATACCTCATGACAATGCTTCAAAGTACTCACAACTTCCGATATCTGATTTTTATGGTTCATTTAATTAATATTTTTGATTTTCAGCAGTATTAAAACTTCTCACATTTCGGCGTCATTTCTGTTGCTTGTTTTTGGTATTGATTTGATGAAGAGGGATTCATTAATCAATCTCTAATGACAACCCAACTCTATCGCCCTTGAATACATTTCCTTTATCTCATCTTATTGCATGACCATGTGTCAGTGCGTGGATTGCATAAGTCGATTTGTTTTTCTTGATTATTAATCTTGGTCAGGTATATAGTTCTAAATTTGGCCAACTTCCTGTGCTGCGATAATCGAAAGGACCTCGATCGCCTCGTTTGACGTATGACTTAGACCCCACAGTTACTATGTGGTATTTGGTAGATCAAATTATTTTGTCTAATCAGACCACTGGGATACTTATACCGATAAAGTTTATTTTTGATTGAGTTTCTGGGTTTGAATGCCGCTTTAATTTCAGTCTTGCTGAGAATTCTGTGTGAAGTTTTCAACTTTTCTTCCCTTAATAGAAGCCTCCAGTTCCTTTCTATAGATATTGCAGCTGCTATTCACAATACTGTCATCACTTAGTTCTTTATCTGCACATAAGAATTTCCTGATAAAATCTAGAGAATCTTAGTTAAGTATTAATAGTTTCTTTATTTATTTTAATTCTTTATTTATGTTCTAGAAAGCTTTCTAACTCTATTATTTGGACACTTCATTAAATCTAGTGTGACTGATAGTAAATAAAATGACCTCCAGTCGAAATACTTGTCAAAATGTTTTTGTTTCCTGCAGGCGGTAGTGTCCAAAACATTAAGTGTTCTTTGTTTTACGTTGCAATGCATCATGACTAATTCTCCTTGTTCATTCTCTAACTCATAAGTGAATTGGGTTGCACCTACTACTCATTTTATTTATAAAAGGAAATTGTCGATATGTTTTGACTTCAACACAGTAAATATGTTATCCACATATCTTCACTATATCTTAGGAGTAGGATTGAACGTGCATAAAGTCATAAGTTCCTAACTATCCATAAATATGTCTGTTGAGATTGAGGATATTGGAGATAAAACTGACATTCCTTCTCTTCACCTGTTTATTTTATTCGGAAACTTGTGGACTGTGAGATTCACAAACAGTTGCACACTTAACATAATGTCTTCAATAAATGTCTTAGTCTCATGATTATGTTTTGGGTCAATATTTAGCTGATTTTTAACTACTTCCAGTATCATACTTACTGGTATCGTAAAATAAAGGCCTGTTACATAAACAATTTTTTCAACATTCTTTATGTGGAGATGACTGAATCGTAGCTTTTATTTAGAGACACTGACTAGTCTGGAATTTGAAATGGTTGCAGTAGGACATAATGATGACTTCAAATAATTGGATACTTCATAAGTTAAGGGTATTTTACAAGCCATATATTGGTTAAATGTTATAAACTGCCTTACTAACCTCAGTCGTACCGTGATTTACGCTAGGATTATTAGTTTAAGGTCTTAGATTAGATCATTTGAGCTTACTTATAAATGACTTCAGTTGGTGTATCAGATCTTCTGTAGGTTTCTGAATCTCTCATATGGTTTTGTTCAGATATGTTCGTTCATTTCCTCGAAATAAGCTGATTCGCTTACAACTACTGAATTGAGTTTATAGAATTTGGTGATCAAACATACTGTTATCATTTCATGGATTATGTAAGATTGATTTCTGTGATTTCCAAAAACTGAAGCAAGATTCACAGATCATCGTATTTTGGAGTTTGTTGTATGAAAAAATCAACTTATTCCCAAACACATTCATCGACGTACCCAAATATCAGTTGATAAGGTATAGCAAGAGAACATTTCAGAAGACTGTGTGTAGAAGAAAAATCTACAGGACTGCCACAAAATCAACTCTTGTCTTCCATGCCATCGAAGAACAGAGACTACGAATTTCTAATTGAAGCATCCAATAAAGTGAAATCATCTGCTTCTAAGAAACTGAGAAATACTCAGGTTGGGGGAAAAGGATTATTTCGCCAAGGGGAATGAGATTATAAATAGAACTTCATCAACTGTGGTTAGGACACTGGCTGATCAATATCTCCTCAAGAGCTGTAGTTTGGAATGAAAGAAAAGTAAGCGAGAGTGGTCTATAGTCTAAACTTCAATGTTGCAATAGGCTATCTGGAACTCAAAGATGAGATACCTAGCATAGATTTGATTATGGGGAGTAATTTGTGCTCACAGTACTACCCGGCAAACAACACTATCACTGTGTTATATAAATTAAGCAACCTGCTATAGAATTATTCATTACCACAATGCTCAAGTTTTGCACTTAGATTATTGGTTAATACTGAACTAGAATGAAATGAGGCATTTTCTGGATATGTATATACATATATTAGCCAAAAACCTTATTTTCAAATAGTCCATTGTCATTTTTCACTTACCTCTTCTTGATTTCTATCAATTCTATCAAGATTCTGTTTTAGTCCGACATAATAACGTTTCATTTCGCGTTTAAAATCAGTTTCAATGCAAGAATTTTTTCCAGTTACGTGTGTACTATTCTCACTTCTTTTAATTCCTCTTAGATTGTAGCTTGATATTTTTGACCAGTGTTTGTCTTCACGGTTTATCTCGGTATCATTCGCTTTTAGGTTTTCATTTTCTGAGTTTACTTGTTTTAATGGTTTTTGGATCACATCACTACTCATCTTGTGTAATTTTGGATTTAGTAAGACTAAGCTGTTCGTTTGATTTTGTCTAGAATTCAACCAATCACCCTTTTGTTTGTTTTAATTAATTTTTACAAATAAGGCTACTCACGTGAACTTATTTGAACTTTTAAATGACCTTACTGTTTGTGTACTTTTATCAGTTCATGAATCCTATGAGTCTTTTGCAGACACTACAATGCTCAACGTCACCAAATGTCCTTTTTAGAAACTCATGCAACGAAACTGAATCACTTCTTTATGAAGTAAATGCGATGAAGTTATCTAGTCTGATGACGAAATGGCAAAGAACAAACCCCAAAGCCTAGGGAGCAAATAACTACCATAAAAGGCAAATATTTTTCTCTAAAACATTAACTACTCACAAGTAGGTAAATTTTTTACTTGTATTTGCTAGATACTACCTCATCGGTGAAGTATGATTTATATCGTGAGCTAACAGAAGTTGGAAATGTGGTGCACCAGATAGTAACACAGTGGCTCGATGGTAACGAGCTGGCTGCGAGACCTGAAGGTCACGGGTTCGATTCCTGGCGGGGTCGTGGGTGCGCACTGCTGAGAAGTTCCATACTGGGACGAAACGGCTGTCCGGTGCTGCCAGGTTTCCTTTGTTGCTCTAACTGATGTCAGTCTACGATGAATAACAACTTGAAATATAATTTATACATTTTGGTGAAATCTGAATGGCAAAAATCCTATTCTGCCAAAAATTCATTCAAGAAGAGTACTTCACCTGTTATTGCATCAGACACTATCTCTCATACAAAACTGAGGGCTACTTTTTTCATAAATGTGCAGTTAGAAATGCTATCAATAAAAAACTCATTTGCTGGCTTCAATTTCTGTTGAACAGCTGTACTGCGTTGCACTGTGGCTTAAGATGAACCCATCAGATACTACAGTAAATAAGTAAAATTTCCTCCAATCTGGATACAATCCCCTCAGAGTTGGCACAAGTGGTAATTGGTTGTTGGCGCGATAATGATGACTGCTAAACGACGGCTAAGGTTAGAAGTAGGTAATTGTTTGAACGAAAATCCAGTGATAACTCCTCATTATGTAGTTCATAATCAATAACACTAAAGTAAACTCAGATTATTTCATCTAGTGGCATCTGATCAGTTGCAAATACTGATGACTAGGGATAGTATGTAGTAAAACAAGACACCATAAATGTTTAGGATAAAAGGGAAATTCAAAGTAAACTGCACAAAAGTGAGTGAAGATAAGCGATGCAGAAAGTAAAAGTCCCCATTAAAATAATCGAAATAAAGCATATTTATAGATGGTGTTAAGAGGAGTTATAGAGTCAAGAAGAAAAGAGCAAGAACTGCACAATATATTAATTACTCAAATAAGCAATAGAAGAGGAAAGAAAAGTCAGGAAAGAATCTAACTCAGGACAGAAAAACCAGTGAGTCATGAAAATGAGATGATGCAATCTAAGGGTAAACAATTCCTCAAAATTAGTAAACTACATTTTCCAGCAGGTGGAAAAGATTGGATGGTGATTTTTTCAGTTAAATTGGATTGACATAGCTGAAGGTAAAATGTAAAGCATTTACATCACTTGGCTGTGTACTGCTCTATTTCACATTACTTGAAAGCAACTGCCAAGTATTCAATAGAGGATTGGCATCTGATTCAACTGCTGCTTAGCTACATATATTTGGCTAACCAATTAGTTTGATGTTCCGTCTTCGTATTTGACGTTTCAGTGTTGGTTAGTGAGAACTAGAGTACATTAAGTGAGACACATGTATCCGATTTCGATAGAATCTTGTCAGAAAGCCACTTAAACCACATTCTTCTACGTGTGTGGCTTGAGAACGTCTAGTAGCCATGGCTAATACCTATAAACATGAAGTTCTCTGTAGATTTCGGAAAATGAAAGTCCGTTGTACCTCTGTTTCGCATTTCATCTCAATTAAATCTATAGATATTATACTTTCGAAGGTTTAACTTTCCTACGGGTGCAATGATTTTATTATTATTGTAATCTCTCGTTGATGGTGATTGGAGGTTACTGTTGCTATTGTTTCTGGTTATTAGTTGAGTATCTTCATCACCTCTGTCTCCTCTACATCCAATTGAAGTCCCGTCTTCCTTCGTTGCCTCACCTCCTCTGACTACCTGTTAGTTTTCGTCTGTAGATCTTCGAATTTGTGAGACATCAGACTAAATCATCATCGTTGACGAGATGCAAATCTTCTAGTCTCTCTCCATCGGTCCAACCAGCTCATGTCCATCTTCTCGCTCCTCTCGGTTTGCTGCATGAATTAGTCGGCCACAATGAATAAGATCATCGGTGATAGTAGGTGGCAGCCTTGTCTCATTCCTGTCTTCACTTCAAAGACGTCACTGACCTTTCCATTGTGAATCATTTGGCGTGTAGCATCATCATCATCATCATCATCATCATCATCATCATATAGCTGTTGAGTGAGGTTGATAAGGGTGTGTGGCACTGAAACTGTAGTGTTGAAGCAGTTGTCGAAACACTTCTCGGTCGACGCTGTCGATGGCCTTTTCAAAATCGATGAAGTTGAGGTGGAGAGTTGATTGGCATTCTATACTGTGTTCTATTATGATGCATAGCGTCACGTTGCAATTTGATCCACACATGATTTGTTCTTCGTGAATCCAGTCAGACTGCTCCGGTCGTAATTTTGAATCCAGTGCATCGTTTAGTCTCTTCAGGATGATGCGGTTTAATATTTTGCTTGGTATGGACAGGAGTGGAGCATGATTCCACGTCAGCTCTTGCGAAGTCTTAGGTGGCCCACCCTTCTTTGCGAGTTTGACAAGGTAGCCATTCTTCCAATCAATATTCAGGTACCTTGCCTTCCTTACTTCTTTCCTTCCTTGCAAACCTTGTTCACTACTAATGTGAGCATATTCGCTTTTGTCTCTGTGTCTGTTTGCAGTGCTCCTGGCGGAAGTTCATCTGGTCCTGCTACTTTCCAGGATTTCAGTAGCTATATGGCAGTCGAGACTTCACTTCGGCTTTTGTCGGAGGACATGTGTTCACTGGTAGTTCTTCGGCTGCTGGTGGTATTTTTGGAGGAGTTGCAGGTTGTGGTGGTCGATTCAAGAGATTTTTGAGGTGGTCAGTCCATCGTTTCCTTTGTTTATCCTCCTTGGTGGTAACCACATTTCCTTCACTATCTCTCACTGGTTTCATCTGCGTTGATCTCTTCCCAGATAGTAACCTGGTTATTTGAAACAGTGTTGTCAGGTCTCTCCTACCAATAACCCGTTATGCTTCACTTGCCAATGTGTCGTAGAAGTGTCTTTTGCCTTCGCGCGCACTCTTCTTCACTTCTTTGTCTAGTGCAGTGTTTTATACGTTCTGTCCCTGTACTCCTTTCCTTGTTCATCCCTGCACTACACAACACTGCACTGAACTGAACTGCACTGGTTCACCTTCTGCTTCACCATCACCATCTTCCTCTCCCTTCTCTATCAGCTTCCATGTGTCCGTCAACATCCATTCCTTGTCTTGCTTCTTCTTCCCTCCTTACACAATTATGCAGGTTTCCTTCCACATTGCTTTCAAAGAGTTCCAGTGTTCTTCCACGCCCAGTCCTTCAGGGATGCTGTTCAATATCTCCCATTTTGTCCTGATGGCTGACTGACTGACTGACTGACTGACTGACTGACTGACTGTCTGACTGACTGACTGACTGACTGACTGACATGAAGATGTCCTTTGTAGTTTCCTCCTTCAGTTCAGTTACTGTTCTGAGTGTTGAACTTCAACTGTGGTCTATCAACAACTTCCTTGAATGGAAGGCTTTCAGCTTGATTTTGAAGGCAGGTTCCTTACACTAGATAGCGATTGGTGTGAACCACCTACATCTACTCCCCCTCCTGATCTGATCTTGTGTCCAGTAGGCTGCATCTCCATTTCCACTTTCTTCACATTGAGATGAAGTCGATCTGAATTTTAGTCTAGTGTGTCTGGTATCTGGTGAAATCCGTGTCACTCGCATTGTGAATATCCTTGTGCTTGTTTGTACACACTGCCTGCCTCCAATCACCAAATCGTTGAATGCGCAGAAGTCTCCAAACAGTTCTCCATTCTCGTTCTTCATTTCACCGGGTGCCTCTCGACCCATGATCACTTCTCTTCCTGTGTTGTATGCTCCTCTCAGTTTGGCATTCATGTCACTCCATCCATTGGAATTTTGATATCGTCAACTGGAGTGGGGTCTTGTCCATTACTGATTGCAGTTGTCTGTAGAATTCCTCCTTCTCCTCTTCATCTATGTCTGCATTATTTGCAGGTGCATGGCGTAGCATTGTATGATTGTGACTTTGGTTCCTTTTGAGATGAATCTTGCTGTCATGATCGTGATCTTGCAGGAGGTGACTGGTTCCCACTGCATGAGAGAGAGAGAGAGAGCGAGAGAGAGAGCTTTCGATGCTCTTCAAGGGGAAATCATGATAGTCACTCCGAAACTCGGTATGCCCATGGTTGTTGTGTGGGTGACAATATCGGAGTAGATAACTGACTCTCCTCTCCAGTTGACAGTTTGGAGAGTCCACTTCCATTCCATCTGCAGACTCCTCTCAGATTCCTATCACTCCTATGCCACACATTCTCATCTCTTTTGCAATCTGGGCAGCCTTGCCAGCCAGCCAGCCAGCCAGCCAGCCAGCCAGCCAGCCAGCCAGCCAGCCAGCCAGCCAGCCAGCCAGCCAGCCAGCCAGCCAGCCAGCCAGCCAGCCAGCCAGCCAGCCAGCCAGCCAGCCAGCCAGCCAGCCAGCCAGCCAGCCAGCCAGCCAGCCAGCCAGCCAGCCAGCCAGCCAGCCAGCCAGCCAGCTTCGAACATTTTTCGGACATTCCATGTCGCCATGTTTACTTTCGCTTTCATTGAGTGAGAGAAGAGACATCAGCCAATTGGCTCCTCGAAGGCTTTCACCAACTGGTGTCATTTTGCATCTGTGATTCCAGTGAGGAATAAGTTTAATTTTATTATTGATATTTTGTTTGTGCTTTGAAGTTTGTTTAGTGATTGGGTTAGTTTTGGTGGGGTATGGTTGCTAGCCGTGTGCCCAAACTTCCCTGTTGATCCGAGTTTGGGACCGGCTAGTAACTAATGAACTAGTTAACTAGGTAAGATTGCAATGATTTTAGAATTTGCCTAAAAAAATATTGCCTAATAATTGGTAGAATATGTTGTCATTTATATCCATACTACACTCCAATAGATAGTAGACAGAGTCAGAAATAGTATATTGTTTTCCTAATCCGTAATTCCGTAATACGTTCGAAATTTTCTGCCCTATAACATACAAGTTTCGGTCAGCGAAGAACTGTGAAACTAGTCTGATATAACTCCTGCTGTATATAGCAACATCAATGACACTAAGACCAAAGTTTATAACTGAATCACCTTCGAATAACACTCGTGGACACATTATTAAGATTATAAGTTAAAGTATTTTTTGGTTACCACCTATTAGCATTTTAAATAACATTAGTCTTCCACTTGGTATGCATGATTTAGGAACAATAATAGTGAGTTTTCCGTCACAACAATAAAACCTTACGTAAATTGAATATTGAGGAGGTTTATTTCATCTGAATGAGTTAAAATGTTCAAAACCTAATAAACGGAGTCATTTTAGTGTTCTCTTAATAGATGTTGGTCGACAGTACTTCGCACTCCACTCGGTATCTTAAGTGTACCACTAAATCTGAAATTAGTTCTATCCAACTCCAGGTAGTAGATATTCATGTTTTCAGCTCCGGATACAGATCGAGTTCAATGTGTTTCAAATGAAAGGGTTCCGTGAATACAGGTATACTTTTAGGAAATAATACCCACTTTCCCTCATGCCAATGGGTGCATACAAAAATACTTCGAAGCAGTTTAGGTTGGGAAATTACCATGAAGACAAAACATTTGCTGTTGCTGCTGTTGTTCTGGAGCTCCTTCCTGAAAAAATGCAGCCAGAAGTCTGGAAAGAGACTTCTAATTCAAAAGTTCACTTTCAAACCGACAACGCTCTAGCTCAAAGAAACTCTCTCCAAGATCCATTACAAGGTGAGGGGTTTCCTAGAAGTTAGGCAAGATTGCAAGTTTCTCACTCTTAATGACTCTTCATTCAGAAGGCGACACAGACTAGTCACCTAGTTTTTAACTTATAAGGATAATTTTTGAAGTTCTGTTCATTCATAGTTTCTAGGTGTACCATCAGATAGGAGTTTCAGCTTCATGAATGCATTTTAAAATTGGTGGATGTTTTAGTTTTTGAAGTGTAATTAAACTCTTTTTCCGAAAAGAAATGACATACAGCTTACTAATACCTCTGTCTGTTCAATATTTAGTTCCTGCACTGATTTAGAGTCTAAAAGAAATGTGGAAGATATTTTCAAACTCAAAAATAATCTTTGCAGGTTAAAAGATACTTTTGATCCGATAAGGCAGAATAAGTTAGTCTACCAAATGTCTTGGAGCGATTGTGAAGTCAAATACATAGGTTGAAGTAGTCGACCAGGGTCATTTAAGCTATCCAAGCGCAAAAACCTAGCTAGGTCAAATTGGTAGATCCTAGTAAGATAAGGAATTTAGAAAAACGTTAGGCTATATCTGTGCATGCAGTCACATACAAGCACACGATACGATGGGACAGGGTGCAAATCCTTAAGACCAACATAGCCGGGTGGAGGGGGAGATTGAAAACTGAGTCTTTGTTAATCAAACCTACACCTAATACATGCAACAGGTACGGGTCAGCACCTGTTCCGGATGTGGAGAATCCTACTACTCATATCACAAAGGGTGCGAGGAAATATGGACTATGTAAAGGATGTCTGATAGTTGTATAGTTATCTTGATATAACAATGGACAATAAATTATGTCCAAAATGTTATCCAGTAAGTGGTAGTATTTCGCTGTGTGATACATCTAATAAGTCAACCATAATGGTATTTTCAAAAACTCTTCAACACCCATACTTTTTCAAATCGGTGAATATGATCATACGTAGTCATGTTAACTTGATTTACTTGGTTTGGTAGTAATGATGGGTGGTGGCTAGCAGTGGAATGTGTGATGCACGTTTCCTCCTGATTTGGACTGGTTAACTAAATGTATCTGCCTCCCGGTGAGTGATCTTCTTTCGATTGAAATTTAAATCTAGCACCTATGTCTTCAAATACCAGAGCGTTATTTATTTTAGCTTTTGAATTACGATACTTTAATGTTATAACTTATATTTTGTCGTTGTTTACCTATGGTCGTTGTATCCTTAAGGTCACTACTACACTAATGAGCCACTCACAAGGGCATTTAGAGATCTGTCAAAAGTGATCTCATAAGTCAAATATTAGTTAAAAATTGATGTATAAAAGTATAGAAGTATAAAAATAATAATAACAACTTGAAATATTTCCAAATCTCCTCAACTCCCTCAAAATTCAATTGAACTGGCGCTCATTGGTGACTAGCTTCGAGAAGTATTCCCGAAGTTCCAATGAGAAGTCGTGACCGTTGGAGTCAAAGCCTGATGGCCGTGAGGACAGATACTCAACGATGACATTGGGTAGCGGTTGCGCTATATAGTGAGCTAACAGAAGTTGGGAATATGGAGCATTGGGTTCTGACCCAGTGGCCCAGTGGTAGCGCGCTGGCCACGGAACCTGTAGGTCACGGGTTTGATTCCTGGAGTCCCATACTAGGACGAAACAGTTGTCCAGTGCTGCCAGGTTTCCTTTGTTCCTCCAACTGATGTCAGTTTAAGGTGAAAAACAACTTGAAATATTTCCAAATCTCCGCAACTCCCTAAAAATAACTATATTTACTTGGTAGGTACAGCTAGTACTCTACTTTGATCATATTATGCTGAGTGTGTCCTGGTCCAACGTAAAGAAGGCTTTAATCTCCTAGAACTCCATAGTTGTCATAAGTAGGTTGCTATTATTTTAGTAAAGATATGAAGCATGTACAAGGGGTCTTGATACCTTGATTTTATAACCAGCCACTGACCTGATCAAGATCTTTAGAAATCATAGTAGATGTTGCCATGAACTGAGGTCAGTTTGAAATACACGAGGAACTTTAGAGTAGTGGATAGCTGTTACGTCATATTATAAGACTTCTCAGTAGTATACACCGAAGACTCCGTAGGGTATCGAGCCCAGGACCATTAGGCCTCATGATGACCACTTTATCATTCAGCTATCGAGTTATAATACAGTGGTTGCATTATGGTATTACAATCACCCACTGTCATTAGTGGGGATCCGTTTTCACTCCCAGCTTGGTTGGTCATACCGGTCACGGTTTCTCGTGGCAACTTCACAGAATTTATATAGAAGTAAGTCAGTAATAAGCACTAGAGTTTTGTAACCACTGTAGATAGGGTGAAATGATACTTTCAAAGATGGGTCGGATGTAGTCGAATCTACTTCTATCCCCTCAGTATGTTACGTAATTTTACGGAAGGGGATAACTGCATTATATATATATATATATATATATATATATATATATATATATATATATATATATATATATAGTCTGATTTTTCATGTTACAAGTTATGCAACCCATGAGTAAATAGTAACACCTATGAATTGTAGTATAAATTCTTGACAATGTCAGATTTTGGATTCTATTCTTTCTTGGTTCGTGTTTTCACTCTACTTGTAGGTTCAGTGGATTATATTTACAAAAGGCGTGGTGTTGATTTTTATCCAAGAAATATATTACATCTTTAAGCTAAGTGTACATAATCCTATGCAAATCTGTATATCTCGCACAAAGTTTTGTTATCACCGGCGTCTTGTAACCAATACAACGTAAGTCAGAGTTCTAACCCTTTACAAAGAAAATTCACTATGCTTAGTTACCGATCACTTATTAAGTAAATGTAAAGAATAGTTCTGCAAACCGAGTTGTTCTTCAAACATGAACCGTCCACTAGTACATACTTCATTACAACAACTGATGATGGTGTCTAGTCTGATATTAAAATACTCGCTAGTAAAAGCTTAGAAAGAAAACATCACAAAAACAACTCACTGTAAGCATTTAAGCTTGTAACTAGAAATGTTCAGTACCAAGTATCTTTTTTTGAAAAGGAAACGATTATTTCAGTATCATACAAGAAAATTTTATGGAATAAAATCTCTTATTTTACAATTAATCACTCATTTTAATAACTTCTCCATCTGTGTGTGTAAGTATATGTTATCCTTATTCAAATGATTAAAGTGTCATTAGTAGATTTATTTCTGTCTATTTACTAGTAGTTTTTGTAGTTACAGTAGGTTCTGTTGTCGGGATTGTTTTAACTTCTTCATGTTCCTTTTCGGTACCTCCATCTACTGATTTGCTGTTTGCATCAGTCTGTTGCTTTTGTTGCTGATTAGACTCACCTTCTGTACTTTTTTGTGAGACTGGAGACTGAACTGTCGAAGCTGTTACAGTAGTGGTAGTAGTAGTAGTAGCATCAGTGGTGGTGGTAGTAGTAGTAGCATCAGTGGCGGTGGTAGTAGTAGTAGCATCAGTGGTGGTGGTAGTAGTAGTAGCAGCAGTGGTGGTGGTAGTAGTAGTTGGAGGTGATGTAGTTGTCTTTGTTGTTGGCACTGTTTCACTTTCTGTTGTCATATCATCGTGATCTAATGAATCGTCTGTTGAATTCAGGGCAACATGAAGAGCATCATGTGAAATCACTGTCCAGCTTGAATCATCATCAATAAAACCCGCATCTGGTACTTTATAGGCATAAATATCAGTAGTAATAAATTGTTCGCTACTGTCAGTAGAAGTTTCATCGTCAGTAGTACTAATCGTTGTCGAAGGTGTAGGTGAACTGAATGTTGGATTGAAAATTGAGGTTAAAATGCATAGAAAGTATATTGAAATGGCCAACATGCTTATTACAAACTCTTTAATTTCATAGTGTTTAACCCCGACAAATTTTGAATTAATATCTTGTAAGAGTTTAGTAGAGATCACGTTTATGTACAAGTGTACGTCATGTAGACATACCCGCATAGAGTTTAAAATATTCCTGTTGCTTTTTCTGTAGTAATTTTCATAACAGTATGAATCCATTTAATGAATGAATCCAATTTATTGGATTTCGAACTGACCCAGATGTATAATAAGGAATATGGACAAGCACATACGGGAGTTATGTGGGATAGATGTCGAATAGAATATCACGTATAATAGCTTTTTAATCGCCAAAATAGCTTTGAATAAACAATTTACAGTTTGGATTATATTTTTACTAGATAACAGTAATCTATTAAAGTTAGACCAAGGAAAAGTAATTTGTTCATATCAACCTAGTGGAAGTTATTTAATTTTTTCTCCTGTAAAAAAGTGTACAACTCAGTTCACACTAATTCATTTAAACTAATTTGTGTAAACACTAATGAGCTTTAAATAATATTGGTAAGATGCGTGAGCGCTAAATAATAACTATTTTCTTGAATCGTACTTTTCCCTTGGAATAAGTAGATATCACATGAAGTCTAAGAAAAGATGAACACTTTTATGTAGAGGCTTCTACCTGAAAAACAGTATTTTAGAATTTTCCGAAAAAGTAGGCAGTGCTACAAGTAGACTTTCAGTATTGCGCAAGATTTCTGCCATAGGAGACCTATTTACAACTTGAAAAATGCATTTCACAGGTGGGGATGTTAGAGTATATGGGGAAGTATCAGGTAAGTTGTCTTTGTCAAGTAGTGAATGCCACACTCTCCATTCTAATTTAACTTTGTCATAGGCATGTCTGTTGAGGTCTCTCTCTCCTCGTCTAAATCGAAATTGATTGAACTGGTCACAGAAATCTCCTTAGTGGATCCGTAGTATGCAGATGACGTAGCCGCTTTGGGTGAAGACGGTAGCAAGATGAAGAGTTCTATGGACAAGATGATTGACGATATGAGAATGTTTAGGACGTTTTTCATCACCAAAATGAAAAGTGTTGTTTCATGACTGGTTTGCATCTATACCACGTGTGACCATAGGGAGTGAAGTAGTTGAGCGTGCTAGCCACTATACTAACCAGGGAAGCCCAGACAGCTACACTGGGTCAGTGACAGATGAAATCTTGGCATGGATACAAAAGGCTCGACTGACTTTTGTCACGTTACACCATTTATATCGCCGGCGCAATATCTGGCAGCTTATTAACGGTCGAGTTTATTGCCATAAGGTACACTGTATACTCTAATGCAACTGTGAGTGAAGAACCTTTGGGATAGAGGACATGTGGAGGTTTTAGATGTTTGGCCACCATCACCTTCGTAGCAGAAGCAGTGTGTCGTGGCGCCACCACATCAATTACGTCGAATTAAAGCTTTTGGCAAATGGGATGTCATTTAATAAGGTTGTAGTCTTTTATCAGCTGGGGTGGCTGGGATATGTATGACACATGCCTAGTAACCGTCTTTTCGTTTGCGCAATGTTAGCTGAACAAGGTTTGGGCTGCGAAACGGTTATAGGCAGCCATATTAAAACATGAAACCACTCTGCTGAGTCCTTGACTTCTGACCTCAGTCATATAGGTAAATGCAGACATCACTGCTTGGATCTAAATGCCAAATGGAATCACTTGTTAGAGACTGTAGATGATGTGACTGATAATCGTTCAGTGGCACAGGCGTACTCACAAATTTTCGACAACTTAATCATTATGTCAGCCTTACCTATAGTTTTGCCCTTGTTCTTTCTTCTGCATGACTTTCTACCACTTTTATTACTTTATTCGTTATCTGTCTGACTTTCATCTTACTTTCTTTTGTATTACTGTCCTGATATGAGGTACGGCAACTTGAACAGTTACACAGTGATGCCAGGCTTCAGTTTGGAAGTTCGTGGAGATTCATTGATCGATTTCAATTTGGTATTCATCATGAACTGACATCAGTTGGAGAAACATTGGAGACCTGGGAGCACTGGACAGCTATTTCATCCTAGTGTTGAACTCCTGAGCAATGAGCACCCATGACGTCCCAGATACCAAACCCAGGTCATTTAGGTTCTACAGCCACCTCGTTACAATTGTGTCACTGGGTCGGAATCCAGTGGTTCACATTGTCTACTGTCAGTTCACGATATAGCTGTTCAGTGCTCCCAAGTTTCCAGTGTTTCGCCTACTGATGTCACTTCATGATGAATACCAACCTAAAATCAATAAATAAATCCCTACAAACCTCCAAACTGAATTAATCTAGTGCTCATGGATGACTAGTTTCAAGAGATGATTCTCGAAGTTCCAATGACAAGTGACTGATACGGCCAACCCAGTCGAATAGAGGTCGGGCTACATCGTGAACCTACATAAGTTGAGGATATGAACCACTGGGTTTCGACCCGATATCTCAGTTGTAACATGGGGGCCATGGGACTTGAATGTCCTAGGTTTGGTCTCTGGTGCGGTCAGTGATGCGCACTGCTGAGAAGTTGCATACTAGGACACCTGTCCAGTCCTCCCAGATCTTTAATGTTTCTCCAGTCGATGTCATTTCATGAAGAATACCGACCTACTTATTGTTAACTTACTTTTAGTTCACAACAGATAATTTTATAGGATGAACTTATGGGCATCTTACTAAATCGATCTGCAAGTAAATTAATATTACTTGAAATAATAATATGATGGAATCGGTTTATCATTGGTAGAAAGGAGTGTTTCAGGATGAACAAATCCTTCTGTTTAACAATCATTTGCAAGCGCTTGAATTCACGTTAACATTTTGACTTAGTTGTGCATCTTCAAAAATCATAACATTAATCTTTTAGTTAAATGCATGGAAGATACTTAACGATTAAATTTTATGATTTGATGATAAAACAAACGCATAAAAGCTTCAGAAATTTCACTTTCTCAACAGTATCCATTTTCAAGTCTGTATGAGCCGTATTTTCCGTTCACATTAACCAAATAGAACGATTCAGTTCATGAAATTCATTCACGGTTTAACATGTCATATGAGTAAATGTATGCTTCTGGTGGCATAATGAACACGCACTGATTATAGCAGATGGCGATAAATGCTGAGTAGGAAAGTATAAATGTAAACTGAGTGATTTGAAACCGTATAAATTTAGATAATTGAAATGATGATTTCTAAATTAAAGGTGAGACAAAAAGTATCTGAATGTACGTAGTATTTTCCTTGGATAAACACCATATTTAGGGTTATCAATAACTCGCAGCCAAGCTGTACATAAAATGATTTCGTAAACTTCTGTTAAATGAGGTGAGAAAGAATTAGTTATTTTCATGTTTGACCTTCTGCAGAATGTGATCAGATACAATGACTGGTCACTGTAGAGTAACCACTTTCATACTGTTTAGCTAGTTCTAAGTGCTGGCCGAATGTGACCGACTCTTTTGTAATGTGGTCACCAAGCTATACGACTCACCATCATTGTGCACTAAGATCTATGTTAGACGGCTAGAAGCAATCAACAGGAGACCCTACACCTAGGTTTATGCTTATTGGCACTCAATAACAAGCTATAACTGCAAATTTAACCGTATTGATGGCATCTCATAGATTCGGTTGAATTTGGTCAGGACTCAGGACTAAACAATAGGAAGTTGGTTAGGCTTTTGGAACCAATCAATGTGTTTACTTATCAGTATGTGATTTTCGATGATTCACCGTTTTAAAGGTAATTTTCACAACGCACTGAAATTAGTTCGAGAATAAGTGAAAACCCCGAAGTCCTAGATACTTGTTTTATCCCATTTCAGGACTCCACAGTAGGGCGCATGTATGACTTTACGAGAGTTTGAGCCCATGACCATCAGATGCCGTGGTGAGCACTTTGCCACTCACTCATAAGAGTAGATTTCAATGTTCCACTTGTCCCTACCTCTGTCAGTTTACGAGGTCACACGAATATCATCCAATATCATCAGTGGACATCGGCCCCAATCAGCATGTCTCAACTAAAATACTAATTTCGATCAAAACAGACAAACTAAAAGATAGAAGTAGTCAGATACATACCGATCAACACTTTCATTGAACCATAGAGATTAAGGTGACTTTATACTCGACTCCAGAGAAGAAGGATTATCAAGAGACGTTGAACAACACTATAAGTGACCCACATTTATCTTAATAACTTTTCCTTTCACAATCTTCTCAGCATGTACCATAATTAAGGGCCTTCATATTCTTATGTATTTATGATGGAAACTGTGGAAAAAAGGAAGAGAACATCAATAGTTATTGTAAATCTTCAACATTCTTACGACAAGTACCAATATTTATATGCACATAGATAAAGCATAGATATAACAAGCCGTAATACAGTGCAGTAATCAAAATTCATTACAATTTGCATTATTTCAACTGGATAATCATAACTAAAGTTATGATTTGTTGAAAGTTGTTGATGACACTATAGAAGTTTTCAGGTAACTTCGTTTAACTTCCATTTATAAAAAGACATGTAAACAAACATTACCGTTTTCATAAAGAAATAACAACAGTCGGAGAACCATTAGAAACATTGGAGCAATAAATAGCTGTTTCGTTTTGGTTTCGGACTCCTCAGTAGTAAGCAACCGGGATGAGAAGATTCCAAAAAGATCATTCACGGGATCCTGGGTGAGGACTTTTCGGGATCTTCAACTATAACAAAATAACACTTGGATGTTCCCAGGTTTTCAGTGATTCCCTAACTTATTTCAGTTAGTGATGAAGACTACCTTGAAACCGAACACTACCCACCAACCACTAATTGAGAATTGCTCTGAATTAGATCCCTATGCGCCTTACATATATATATATATATATATATATATATATATATATATATATATATATATACCCACTAATGCTTCCTATTATTCTTTCTGCTCGTGCATGTTTTATGCTTTTAACTTTATACTACTTACTAAAAGTAAGTAGCAGCACATGGACGTTTAACTTCTGTCCGCACCACTGTATTTGATGTTTCGTTGCGGTATGGCTTTTTAACTTGTTAACATTCCAGTGTATTACTCTTTCAAATCATTTTTC